GAATAAAAAATTTTGGCACAGGTACATGAGACGATATGTCAGAACGGTAGTTGTCGTTTCTCGATTTAAGGGGGAGGGTCCCTCCACCCGTTTTTTGCCAGCAGTTTGTGGAGGATACTTCGGAGTATAAGTCCCAACAAAGCTTTCGGTTCCCGGATTTATAGTTTTTGATTAAAAAAAATTTTAAGTTTTTTCCGGGTTTTTTGTCCTATTTTTGAAATTTCGATAAAACTTCATTTTTTGATATGAAGAGTTGATTCTAGCGTAGTTCGATAGAGAACATTAATTTGTATATGAAGAACCCCTTTTCATCGTTCCCGAATGAAGTCTGCCGCTGAAATTTAACGTTCGCCTTCCCGAGGAAACTTCAAAGCTAAAAGTATTTTTCGCCTCGCCTTACGGCTAGTTTCGCTCGAACCAAGCATTTCGAAGCAAGACTCTGAGTGCAAAAGTTGTTCAGAATCGAATTTTGGAGTCCCCGACAAGAACTCTTTTTAAAATTTTTTGGTTTTGAAATTGAAATTCAAGTTGAAATCCAGTACAGGCTTTGTCTTTCAAAGTTACAATGTGAAAACATAATAAATTCATATATTCTTTAGCAAGCAAGCTGATCACCATGGGCTATTGTCGGGTCTATTTCATTAAGTACATAAAAATAATACTGATAGAATGACGGCAGAGAAGTAGTTATACTAGTCGAAAAAGATAGATCTGTGTTGTTATTGACAAATTGAGTGCAAGTCGCATCTGCAGCAGTGAGATTTCCATTAGACCAAAGCATTGAAATGAAAATGTCCATATCCATCATAACCATATAGCCAGACCATCCAACATCAGATAGACTGGGTAATAACGAAAAAAGTCTCGAATTAGTTGAGCGTAACGAGTTTCATTCGGTGCTCTGATATTCTGTATAGTACCAACGATGTATGGCGTTGGAAATGTTCGTAAAACAACAGAGATTACGACAGCATAAGTACCACCGCCTCCAAAACTTAATGCCCATAATAGACCAGCATTTTAACATGAGCTCACCGATTGACGTTTCCCATCTGCAGTGACAACGTCATATTTCAGGACTTGATCTGTAGGCATACCATCCTAGCGTGATAGTGGACTATGACCACCTCCCTGTATATATCCACAGGCAGCAGCCACAGACTTACTTGTTTCACCAAGGATTATCAAGTTGTATGTGTTCAATCACGTACATACCTCTCCCACTCCATACCAGCAATGAGAGAAACAACATTCGATATTGTAGTACCATGAGACAAAGTCCCCTACAGATCATGCGTGAATAGCCATAGTCAGCATCATTATAATTTTCAAACATATCCATGATGACGGATGAAGGTTGATTTGCGCAAGTTGAATATGGAGAAGAAAAAAAATTTGATTTCTTTTTCTTATAGTTTAATCGATGTCTTTTTCCTGGTGCTAATTCAATATCAGACGTTTCAATCATTGGTAATTGTGTATTATCATGAATAATAACTACTACACCAGCGGCTAAACAAGACCGAAAAAGAGCCATCATTTAATCAATTTCTTTTTTGCTACTTACAATCTGTCGTATAAGGTATACATTGATGACTGTGTACATAAAGAACTAAACTAGGTACACCATATTGACCATACTGATTAGTATAACGTACATTGTCATCCGTACTATTTTTTAATTTTGCATTGAATATATAGCATGGACCATAGTTTGGAGACGTAAACGAAATGAAATCTTCTTCTAAGCATGGTTTATAATTAAATAAACAGCCCTTTAACATAGAAGAAAGTGAAAAACCAAATGGTATCAAAGATTCATTTCTATTAATTGTATCAATTAAGAAATTTCAAATTAAACTGGCTTGATATGGAATAAATGTTGTTGTATCATTTATATTGGTTAAGTTCAATGTATTTGTATAATTTAGAAAAGGTTTTATAAACTGATCAAAACGTAATGGTGATAAATTACAAAAACTAAATGCTGGAAAATATTGTTGTTTATCATCTTTATAACTTAAATCCATATTAGTTGGATATTGGAATAGGCAATAATTGCTTCAACAATAAAATAGATCATTATTCCCATAAAACAAATAAACGAAATCGACCAAAAAATACGATTATGTTTACTTTCAGAACAAGCTATACCGGGTAAAGCATGAGTGGATGTATTTAAACAGAACTCACGAATAATTGAACGACGACGATTATGTGATTGTGTTTCTTGATTCATTATTCAATTCAAATAAATGGATTATTGATTTTTTTTCGATGAATGAATAATTAGTTTTCACTTGAGATCTTTTTTTGTATTATAATAAACAATCAATTGATATTTGGAAAATAACGATATCAAATCTGAATGATCAATAACAAAGTATAATGGAAGAACTATTAGCATTAGTATATACTTATTTAGCATAAGTATATGTATATATATATATCTCGTGCGCAGTAGAAAATTTAAAGTTTGTACTTTTCGTCTGATGAAGTTGATCTGAGATCAACTAAACGTCACAATTGAATTTAAATAAATTGAGTAGGAAGAGAGAAATCCATTATGTCTGGTTCAGTAAGATAGGAAAGTATTTTGTGAAACATGATTATGAATGAGTGTTGAAGTTTAGAGTGAGAAATGTGAACTTTCTCTTCCGCAGAACGTGACAGATAGACAAAAACTAACAGGATCCTCGATTATCATAGATAATGACTATTATAAAGAAAATCAAATTTCTCAATTATGATTAGAGCAGGTATATCGTGTTTCATATTGTAATTCCGTTGGGATAATGCTAACAGTTCTTCATTGCAGTAATATTTATTTTTCTTTCCTTGTTTCCCTTTTGAGACTTGCGTCTTGAAGATAACGCTTCTCTCATCTATTGATAAGAATTGAAAGAAGCCTATTTTTCTTCCGGTTTGAAAGTATTAAGCTTGAGGGCCAGATCAATGTAAAAATACGTCATTTCTAATCGACAAACTATTTGCAATGCAAATAATGATCTATCAAAATATTTTTGGAAAACTTCTTTCTAATACAGTATGCGCTGTTTCATCATTCTTATAGTTTCTTTCACTTGGTAGGAATGGAATAGCTCACCATTAAACCGTAGCAAATGATGATGTAAATACTAGCAACACTGCCGAACAAAAATAAACAAGGATAGAACAGCTTTTTGTATTTCAATAGAGTCGATGAGAGAAAAAGAGCAAACATTCCAATGAGTACTTCAGAAGTAAGATAGGTATTATTTTTCATTGTAATTTATAAATTAAATCTTTACCATACGTCAGAGCAAATCGACTAGGACAGAGGATTCAATTTATTTAATGAGACATGACTCCATTCCAAGATTCTGGAATTCTCATCCGAGCAAGGAATTTTTGGAATTTTCAAAACAGCATATGATAAATATTTTCTTCTATTCGCAGGAAGAACCATCCTTAGAGTTTATAGAATTTTGGAATTTTCAGAATTGTAAGCTAATCAGAAGTTTCGCATTACTAGAAACTCAGATTTCGTTCTACGTAATAGTCATCCTGTGTACACATGCAGATAGCAAAATAGACTGCATAGCCATACAGGTCTTAGGAAGCATCAGTAAAGGGTGTTTGGTCCAGAATATCGTAAACTCCTACTTCCAGGAAATTCATTTTAATATTTAAAAGATATTGAAGACTCAGCGATAGTGCTACTCGACCTCCTCCACTCTTCCCGCCTCCGTGTGTGTTTTTGCTCTCATGACCAGCCAGAGAGATGCCCTTGTCTATTTTCATGATCCGGTGGATCCTTCAGCGATCAGCGAGAGATATACTCTGCGTGTGCTTCCGTCCTCAGCCTCACATTTTACTCACACCGTTCACATTACCGTCATCCCTGACCTCCTGTTAATTCCGTAAGTTCTTATTATTCTAAAATTCTGAATATTCCAAACATAAATGCCACAAATCGATAAATTCCAAGATTCCGTACACACCAGAATTCCATAAATTCCAATGTTTCGTAGATTCCATAAATTCCCTAAATTCTATAGGTGGATCTGTCTGCGAATAGAGGACAATATTTATCTTATGCTGTTCTGAAAATTCCAAAAATTCATTGCTCGGATGAGAATTCAAGAATTTTAGAATAGGGCCACGAAAATAGCGGATTTTTGAAAGGTTGCAACGGAGAATACATCCTACTCCGCGATGTTGAACACTGCGGAATCGGTTCCGTGCCAGGAATCGATTCCACCGGTTCCAGAACCAGATAAAACTTGAGATCCATTCTAAAGGGGTGGACAAATTAGAAGACCCAGGGTCTTCTATTCTGTCCCTTGAAAAACTCATATTTTTTGGTACCTCAGCAGTAGGTATGCACCGGTATCGGTATTCATACCGAAATACCGATACCGAAAATACCGACTTGTTTTGACTTGGACGTTTTTGGATTTTTTCATTTGAAATGAGATATTTTAGCGCCCTGGACACCCAGAATGGATCAAGGACGGAAAACAAGAGCTTTGTTTGCTTTCTAAAGCCAAAGTTTTTCTTTTTTTTCTGTTAGCAGTTGTAATCCCGGAATAATAGACCGAACTCCCAGGAAGTCTTAGGAATTGTGAGAATTGATTCCGAAATTCCTAGGAATTGGTGGAATTGATTCAAGAATCGGGGCGTGGTCGGGTTTGGTCCAATTTCGAAATCGATAGAATTGATTCCAGGGTCGGAACTGATTCCGCAATGTTCAACATCGCGGGATAGGATGCCTGCTCTTGTAATGTGGAAAATAATAACATGGAGATAAGTCCAAAAAACCGATAAAACGTGATAGCCTACTAGAGATGGACGGGGCGACCAAAAGTCACGCCGCGACTGCCCGTTCCGTCCCGCCCAAAATATGTTTTCAGAGACCATTTATTCATAAAGTTTCTAGTAGTTTTTCATCATTACTATTACTTAGGACAATCCAAAAGTAGTGGCGGCCGCATCTCAATTTCGTACAGAAGGTTTGTGGAAACTTTCTCTCTATATAGTCTGATAGAGAAAAGAATGCTCTCTTTTTCTAAGCTATTTGATCATACTTTAACTAATATCAAAATAATAAAATTTCGATAAAATCTGTTTTTCTATCATATGACACGGTAGCACGATTATACTAGTGTCTATTTAGTGAATATTTTTTGAATAACTATTGATAGAACCAAAATACAATAGAACCAAATGACAATTAAGAAGTCACTGTAAACACTTCACTGAATAGGCTTGTTTTTAAACAGGCCTATTGGAAAAAGCCCCGTGAAAGTTGTTTTTAACACTGCTTATTTGCGGTGTTAATAATGATTCGAAGATGACAATTTTTCATATCCACGATGCCTGTTGCCCATCTCAACTAAAACAGAATAAAAAATTTTGGCACAGGTACATGAGACGATATGTCAGAACGGTAGTTGTCGTTTCTCGATTTAAGGGGGAGGGTCCCTCCACCCGTTTTTTGCCAGCAGTTTGTGGAATTACTGAAATAACATTTGAATTATGTGTTCTCATATGTTCAATTGCTTCGTCATGAGATATGAAAACATTTCCATTCATTGCTATTAACATACCATATATGATTTTTAATTTTTGACTTTTAGCATCTTTTCTTCTAATTGTTTCATATAGAGATTAACTGTATTAACTATTGAAGCATACCATTTTTGTTCAACTCGGCAGGTTAAAATATATTTTGCT